TTTGGACCAAATTTATGGGCAAGTAGGTTTTCGGTTGTTCACAGACTCCCATTATTTTTGCAAAAAAATGGCAGTTTGCCTTGATTGAAACCCCGAAAAATGCTTTTTCGGGTAATTCCCGTACAAAAGTGTCATTTTTCAAGGTTTTTCAGATCCTCAGTCGGAGGCTAATGGTACGAAATTGGTAAATCAGAATGGGCTCAAAATCAATCCGAAGCTTTGTCTCGACATGCCAAGACTTTTGGCTCTTACAGATCTCAATTATCTTGTCAACTTTTTGAGATAATCGGCGAACAAAAATCGCGGACGCGAACGACGCCATACGCACATCGCAATTTTGCACATTTTTCATAGTAAACAACATGTTTTTGGAGGCAGATAGGTCTTGATCGATAGGATTTGATCCCATCTACATTGCCTAGTGTACAGATATGTGCTTTTTGAAGTTTGGCGTGACGTTATAGTGGCCCGAAAGAGGAGATGTCATGAAATTTTGGCTAGTAAAACCAATACTTTTCCATACAAACAAAGTTTGCGGAAAAGTAACAAAAATCTGTTAATGTATATAATGTACATTTACCAAAATAAATATTGATTTTTGTTTCGACTCACATTCATTTTTTATTTTTCTTCTTTTTGATCGGCTCTTCATCCAACTCCTCATCCGATGACACTACCTTATTTTTCTTCTTCTTGATTGGTTTTTACTTCGCCTCGGACTTTATATACATATTGTGTATATACCGATTCGGATCTTGTGAACATTCTTCTTCACAATCATCATCATCATCATCTAACCTTTGAGATTCACTTACAATTTTGATGTAAACAAAGTGCATCCAATTTTTGATTTGAACCTGATGGACCATATGGTTCATATGTGCATTTAGCTGCTCTTGGAAAGATTAATTCACTGTGAAACATCCAAATTATTGGATCACCGGTCAATAGAGCTAAAATTGCCCGAGAGTACCGGTTCCAAAATCCAGTTATGATCACATTCAACATCACAATATTGAGGAGCTGAGATTTAAAAAAAAAAACATTTGTTTGATACAAAAAATAACATTTGTAAAGATTTTAATAGGCTGAATACTCACAATTAAAACACTGCAAAACATGTTGAGTGTAATAAAATATCGTACATACTTCGTATGCAAACGATCAACATATTTACTGCTAAAATACAACATAATACGGCTCTTCTGGTCATTCCATTTTTCATGTTTGAATGTTGCATCTATTTGATGTAAAAATTGTTTTTTTTAAACATTGTTCAATAAAATTTTATCGAAAATTCTATCTTACCAAACTCATTGCATATCTTATGCATTAATAATCCTTCAAATCTTGTCTATAAATATGCTGGTGTATGCAATACACATGTTTGTAAAATAAACAGCAGAGAAATCCATTGGTAATATCGTTGATACACTTTATTCTCTTCCGTTGGATTGAAACAATTGTTTGTTTGGTTTTTACAGGTGTATGTTCCAACAGACCAGCAAAAATTGTCCATTATTGCCTTACGACCATTTCCACCCATATCAGTATAGCAATCGATTGATGTACGTAGTACATCTATTGTTGTCAACAACATTGTGAAAAACAGGAATAGAACCGGTGTGAATTTTGTATTTAATATAAAATAAAAATCAGATGTGGTTAAGCGTTCAACTTTCACTAAATTTAAAATCGATACAATTGATTTATATTTTTTCTTTTTTAGTACCGAATTTTAGAAAGATCTATAAATTAACCAATTGTACCACACGAGATCGCACGTTTTCCATAGACTTCCCGAATACTACATTATTCATCAATTTGTACAATTCTTTTTCAAAGTCATTCGTTGCCTTTGTGCGCATATCACTTTTCATCATAATATAGGGTCTTAACCACGTACTTTGTTCGAATTGCAATGTCCTGTGAGATTTTCTTAAAATTAAACCATGTTGTAATGCTAATTTTAACATTCGGTAATGAATTACATAGTTTTTCTTATCAGATAGCGTCAACAAAAGCTTTTTCAAATTATTTTTTCCATTTGGTGGTTGTTTGGTTTCGGCGAAGAATGGGTAATCATTGTGCAGATCATGATGGCTTTCCAGATAGTCCAAGTCAACTTCGAATATGTAGCCAATTTCGGCATCGTCACTGATATTTGAGATTTGTTCAGTATCAAACACACGTTCACACCACTTGAAGTCCCGAATTGGCAGATGCTGCATCATTGAATATCCGTAGAGGTTGTTGCAGTCTACATACATGATATAGTTTGTTTTTTTCCTTTTCATCAAATGTTTACATATATTTGTTATTCGCCTTTGAGTATCTCTTGCTACACTGGCTGATCCCGCCTCGTATTCCTATCGATTTGAAGAGCAAAATTGAGTTAAAATATGTAGTATGGTTATTCCCTTAGCATTTTATTACCTCTTTCAATGAACATCAACTTATCGACACTCGTTAGAAGCTCCAGCTCAACTTTTGTGAAGAGCAACATAGCGTAACGTAGCTCATCATTGGTGCTGTTGTTGGAGGATGGGTGTTGGTTGTACGGATGATACCTATTTCCGTGACGGCATAAATCTATCAAACCCTTTATATTGCGATGAACTTTCGCTAGGCCTTCGAAACGGTTTGCAGCGTTTTCAACTAAAATTGGAAAGGAAAATAAAATAAAATAAGAAAATATTAGTTGATTTTATTTTTTCAATATCAATTTACTCATTAACTAAGTTTGAGTTTGGAGACAATGCATAATACAATCGGACAAATTTGTCATCGATTTTTTTAAATAAGTCCATTTTTTCATTGATTCGGTCATTCAATTAGTAGGGGTTTTTAATTGTATAATTTATTTGTAGGGTGCATGTCATTGCGTGTGCTGTTTATTCGATTGATATGTGGATGGATTGGGTACATTTAGATTGTACTGTGTAACAATTGCTCACTCAATCAATAATTTCCTTTGGTCTTTTTTTTTATCGTGGATCCAATTAATTTTTGACTGTGGGTGAATATATGATTGCGTTGTATTTCCATGTGCATTTTTTTTGACTGATATTCAATAAACTCCTCGCTATTTGAATTAGATTTTTGGAATACGATAATTGGATAAAATGAGTAAATTTTTTATTGCCACATTCCATACCTTTTTGATTTTTATAGGTATATATATATAACCCCTTTTTAATTGCCGCTGATTAACTGTTATAGATTATACCCCAAATTTCCTTTGATCTTTTTTATCGTCAATATGTGATTGGGGTATATTTCCCTCCCTATGCATTATTTGTGATTAAGTTAAAGTCGAGTTTTTTTTATTTTTGAGGGTGCATTTTTAAATTCCATTAATTGTTGTTAATTGACTGTTATACATAACGACTCATACTATTAGGGCTGTATTACCTGGTTGCTATAGACAATGACCGTTGCTATGGATACTGATTGGCCAGTTTAAATTGAGGTCAAAGTTCAAATGAGGTCAAAGTGAAATAAACTCAATCGAGTGAGAACAAAGTCAATCTTGGTAAATGTCATTGTATCATACAATTTGTATGTAGGGTTTCAATCGGCAACTGATTGAAATGTTCAGTGTACAGCTGCTTTTCATTTGAAAATATATCAATGCACTTTGCACCAAGTCTTTTATAATCCACCGAGAATATGTGCTGCTCTCATTTTTAGTAGTAACAGTAAAAACTGGTTAACTAGTCAATAGTTACCGATGAATTTTTGAAAACAGCTTTGCGAGATAATCGCTGGCCGAGGTATTTCATATAAATGAGCAACATAAAAAGGGCATCACTTTAATAATTTCATTCTATGAGGTGACAGATATTGAAAACTTCATGCGTAAATGCACTTTAATGTGTGCAAAAATATATTAATAATATTCACACAATTGTTCAATGCCCAGCTAGCACAATTTTACTTATCCAATTCTAGAACGGAATAAGCTATTCTTATCGTATTCTATAAGAACTCTATAAGAACAGGATAAGGCATAAAGGGCCCGATTTTTATTCCGATATGTACGCGTAGGATCTTCTTATTGAACAATATAAGAACACTATAAGTATAATTTAAGGCTCCACTAAGAACATCAGCAACCGCCGGAAAAGAATGAAAAATATTTTGAGAATATTTTAAGAACATTAAAAATGAAAAGCCTTAGAGAATATATTAAGAACAAGTACAGAATATAGGCCTCTATTCTTTGCGTATTCTTATATTTGAATACAGTAAGAACATTACAGATACACTAAGAATTAAATTCGAATAAGGTTTAAGCTAAGAAGACGGTAGGAATAGTTATGCTAGCTGGGTTATCGCTTCAATATCATCTCATATCGCACGACGTTTTCCATCCAACCAATTAATTTAGCCACAGTTGTGGAATAGAATCAACCACATATTTTTTCATGTCTTTGGTACATTTGGGTATCAAACATTTGAAATTTGTCCCGTCGTTATCGTGGGGTTGAAAAAACAACAACTGCGCGACGAAATGCCGGAAGAAAAAAATGTTCTGAATTGAACAATGAAGAAAAAGACATTTTGCTTGAAATCTTATTGTAGCAGTCAAGGTTGACTAGTTGATAGTTGCCTTTGACTATGAAAAACAGCGAGATAATCGCCGTGTTGATTCGAATAAGTCGATAAATTCATGATAATAATGAAGCGTATAGTATTTCCGTTTCAATTTATTGGTTTAAATTACGTAACGAATGATATTATTGATTGAATGGGTTAAATTAACTCGTTATTTTAATATCTGGAAAGTTCGATTATTTCACGTATGTTTGGATGTAAGCCCTGGTGGGTAAGCGTTAACGTTTCCAGTAAACTAAATTACGTCCAATCTGAAACTACGTATATATCGTCGTTGAAAAATGTAGGTGCACTAAGAATTTTTAAATAAAGATTTAAAAAAAAAATCAAAATTTATTAAAAGTAGATGAGTTAAGTAAAAATTTAGTAAAAATTATAGATAAGTAAAATGTATTAAAAGTAAAAGATAAGTCACCAATGTCAGCTGCAGTTCATTCAGTTCATGCTGTAGAAAAATACTATCAATCAATTTTCCAATGAGCCGAAACCAAATCCATGGAAACATTTGAAGAAAGTTGCCAATTCAACTGAAATCATCCGAAAAATCCGGCACCAAAGAGCATTGCTAATCGAAATAAGTATGTTCCTCATCAAAATATACGAACCCATTGCGCTATTGGCAATATATACCATCGGTGAACGCGAGGCTCAGAAGAAGACCGCGCTAGTCAAATGCCAAACATTCATCAAATATCCGTTGAATCTACGACGAAAGACGAAAAAGCAAGAAGAAAATGAAACTGATTCTTTGGCCTGGACGACAATATCAATTCGGTAAGGAAACAATCAATTGCCATTGCATGATAATTTTTATCATTTGAATGATTTAGACCATGGTCCAAGATTTCGTAATATATTCTAAATGAATTTAATTTTTCGTTTACAGATCACATTTCCTTCATCGTGCTCACTCGAGTGGTGGAACGACTCAGGTGTGGATCAAAAGTCAAATACGTTTCATTGCATTTTCATCGGTAGAGGCATATTGGGCGAACAGCCAAGCTTAGCAGCCATGGTTTTGGAATAAATTGAGCTCAGGTAAATAACAATTTCTTTCCATTTTCTTCATTCAATTTCGATTTTCATTTTTGATACGGACGTTTTTATGCTATAAGTGATTCCTTTAAAAAAAGCAAATATTTTTACGTACAACATGGGCAATCGATTAATTTCAATCAATTTTTCTTCAATTTTAGACTCACCAATAACCAAGAGAGGAATAAGAGTAATCGTCGACCACAATTCACCGTATCAATTAGAAAAAGAAAGGTGAATGCACTTCAAAATGCTTGGCCACTGATCTTTGCTTCCTCTTCGAACAAGGTTTTGCTTCTTTCAATGAGCATTTGTATCAAACTACTCGGATCGATCATGGAAGAGCTAGCAATTTAACAGCTTGGCATATCTCTTGATGATCCAATGTGAAAAAAAACTTCTGCATATCAATTTAATTTCTGTTTGAAATCAACAAAAAAGACGATTTTCATCAACTACACCATTAGATGGAAATATTGACTACCTTAGGGACATTTGTGGCCTTATTTACATAGCCTTATCATACTTTACATAATATGTTTATTTTGATTGGATCTTCGTAAGTATTGGTATTCAAATTTCAATAAATTTCAAACAAATATGAACAAACTCAATCAAATTTGCCGGATTAGTCACCATAGTCGAAGAATTTGTACAAGGGAACAACAGTAAATTTATCTAATTTTGGCAGCAATATCATTTAGGGCAATTTGAGTAAGAAAAACGATAATAATGACCTAATTTGTTATGTTGATAAATTTTGTAATGAGTAGATTTAAGAATTGATTCTCAGACGGTTAGAGAATAGTACCTACTATCAACTTGTATCTTTGGGTTGAAAAATAAAATCGTTGAACTTAAAGTATGATTCGGATTTCAAATTTTTCGTTTAGATTTTCAGGTCTTCGATGTGTATGTGTATGTGTACACAACATCAAAAAGGATCTCAACTATTAAATTCTGAACAATTGGTGTTCATTGTACCTACAGCCGAAATGCGTAAGTAAATTGAACAGAAGTGAGGAGCCCCATGTTGTCCGATTTTTGTTTCTTGATTGCTAATGATATTTATCGTGGAATGAAATAAAATGAGTTATTTTATTCCACCATATTTAACCCACGGTCACCGCACCAATGAACCAAAGCAATACTAACGAGTTTATTCTTAAAACGTGCCATTTATTTATAGCTTTGTCTATTCCCACCTATCTATTTATAACTTCAGACTCGAACGAATTCCTTAGAAACGCAACATAAATCTCCGTTAAAATATGAACCGATTTTATTATGACCGGTACAAATGATAATGCGAAACTATATGGCAATTCAGTGAATTCTAGCATTATTAGGTAGGTAAATCAGAACTTATGCTCAATTAAAAAGCAATGAAGCCGATTTTTATCTTTATTTTTTACGATGTCGATGTTCATGATTTGATGAAATTGTGTTTGATAGAATTGAACAAAAATGCAAAGATACTTACATTTGGTAGCAGTAAAAATGGTTCTGAATGGTGTTGAACATTTATTTGTGAATACTCACAGTGTGAGAGTGAATCATTGTACATGTTTCATTGAAAGTAGAATAACAAAAACAATGGACCTGGCAAACACCAACGACGATGAAGGCACCCGAACGCAAACTGTATGCGTCGTCGATATGCTCGGATATATCCGTGCCTTACGAAATGCTGAGATGCTTAGCAATCTTAAAACACATGTTTGATTTTACATTCAACACTCATTCGAAGCTTCTTTCGTAATATTCATTTTAATAATTCCAGAGATCAAAACAATGACGGAATTGTCTCATCTGTGACAATTTAAAATGTTCAAGGATTAAAAACAATAAAATATACCAAAGCCATTTACATATTTTTATAGAAAAAAATATTTTATTGACTTCCTTTCAAAACTTAATCATATTGCTCACCCCGCTAATATGGAAAAAATATTTTCGTTGCTTCGTTTGACGTGGACAAAATTCCTCAACTCTGAACTTTTCTTAGAAAAGATATGGGTATGAGTATGGTGTGGCGAATGGAGGTAGGGCTGATCTGGCCACAAATGGAGCAGGTGCAATGTAAGGCGATGGTCCTACCAAAGGAGCAGCACGAGCTATAAGAGGTGTGGGCGCCAATGGAGCAAGTGAGTTAATATAAGGAGCTGGTGCAACTAGTGGACCTGCACGGGCAACGAAAGGAGATGGAGCAGGTGCAATCAATGGAGCTGCTGCTGGTGCTACAAGGGGAGCTGGCGCCAACCGTGCAATATAAGGTGCTGGAGCTGCGGCCACCAATGGTGTAGCGGCGACCGATGCGGCTGTGAGTGGAGTGGTAACGGCGTGATTCACAGTGTGTGCGTTGTACGATGAAGCGTATGGTACGACTACACTGCCGAAAGTGGTTGAGAAGCACATAGCCAACACGATGAAGATCTAAAAATGATCGAAATTAATTTAATCCATTTATTAGTTCACTTGAATCACTTTTAACTTGTCCAAATACTCACAATGCTTGTTGATGCCATTTTTGATAGACAAATAACTGTTTTCCGATATTAACGAATGAAACACTAAACACGATTTGATGTTGAATGACCAGCAACACGGCGTTTTTATACTCAAAAGACGCGGTTCAATTCGAAATTAACAAAATAAACACGATGTGTAATGAATGTAATAGTGAAGCGTCGTCGAAGCGCGTGCAGAATATATAATCATTTGCATCAATTTCACAGTTTTATTGCCGATATACCCAAAAGCATAAGCAGTTGTAATGAATTTTACTATCACTTCAGCCTTGAAGCGTAGAATAATTTATTATGTTGTTCAAGAAATCAGGTGTTAGTTATGTTCAAATGTTCAAATGTTGATCCAATTAAAATAAACATGCAAAGCAATTTAATTGATTTAAGTGTCGACAATGTCTGTCTGAATTCACCTAATATTAAAGTTTAGATCTAACCAATTGGCTTTTTGATCAAAATTGTTCACCAATGCGAATGGAACCCTATTGCACTTCCATATCTCTTCGCTGTTTTTGATATCAAAACCATCGAATCAAATTATTTGGATTGTCTCGAGCAAAGATTAAATCATTCAAGTTACCTCATATAGCCAAGCACCATATATAGTTCTAATACTGACTCAGAAGAGGGTTGAGTCTTTATATTTTCCCGGCCATGGCATATGGCAACGATTCGTCGCTATTTCCTTGGCGGATGATAGTGAGAGCAACGACAGCAACGGGAACTTTTAGTTTCACCTCGGAATCAATGCAGAACAATATGATCGATAATCGATGCACATGGCTAAGGCTAATATTTCGGGCGATTTTGTTATAAATAAATATAATATTTATTACTTTTCCGTACACAACGTGTCAAGGGAAAGTATAGGAATTGGTCCCGAAAACTTTTTTCGCAAAATTAGCTTAGATCATCATAAAAACTCATGAAACGCATAGAAAACCACTTTTTGAGACACTTTTCCGTTCGTGTGCCGTCGTTGTCGTCGTTGTCGTTGTCGTCGTTGTCGTAGCTGTTTGTAAACACGATAACTCAAAAAATAATTGAGATAATCAAAATCTGGAAACGCCAAAAGTTTTGTATTCGAAAAACTTAGTTTAAGTTCGAAGATGAGCCATTTTCGATTTGATCCTGGGGTACTTGCCCTAGGAAAAACCTCAAAAAATTTACACTTTTGTATGGGAGGTACCTGTAAATCGACTTCGATTGGCTTCAAACTTTCTGAGATTTCACTTTTTGGGAGAAAAATAAGGTTCTGAAAGCTTGAAACCAATCGGAATCGATTTACGGGTACCTCCCATACAAAATTTTGACTAAAATTACCGATTTTTGGACAATTTTGTATGGGAGATACCCGTTAATCGATTCTGATTGGCTTCAAACTTTCTGAGATTTCATTTTTTGGAGAACAAATAAGATTCTGAAAGTTTCATGTTGATCGCATGTGCAGAAGTTAGGTTTTTGGCCCTCAATTTTTTCCAAGAAAATTTCGACAAAAATTGAGGACAAAAAATCAAATTTCTGCAAATGCGATCAACATGAAACTTTCAGAATCTTATTTTTTCTACAAAAAATGAAACCTCAGAAAATTTAAAGCCAATAGGAATCGGTTTACGGGTACCTCTCATACAAAATAGTCGAAGTTTTAGTTAAAGTGATCGATTTTTCACTTATTTTTATTATTATATTTTCACTTCCTTTATTTCAAGAAAATTCACAAAAAATAACCAAAAGTACCTACAGACAACGCAGGCTAACGGTACGGAAAAGTTCGGGATTACCAATGTAATTCTTTTTATTATTAAATATTTTGGCCGTTTTTGGAGGAACTCATATAAAATTTAATTACTATGATTCATAACAAAAAGAATAAAAATACGTTCGTCTTTATGAAAAAACGTCAGCCGTTTCAGTCTAAATTCATTTAGCT